TATTTTCTTAATTTATTAATGCTTTTCTTTCTCTTTTAGAAATATTACATGGTTTATAGGTTTTTCATTGTACTCCTGCAAACAAACCAAGGCACTTCCAGATATGATTGTATAAATGTCAGAAAAGCTAAATCTTTTAACAGAATTGTAAACTCTTGCAGTTTTCTGAGAAGTGCCAAAGAAAAACAGGAACTTTTTATGGGAGGAAGACTGACATTTTATCCAGACAGATGTGTAACAAATTCTTTTTTTCACATAGGAAATGAACATTTGACATAGATTGTTACATCGCTTGAGTATAAGCCTATCAAGACCTCACCTGCTCAGAGAGACTAAAATTTCTTTTATTACTTTTTGTCAGTTTGTGGCTTGGATAGAAAACTTAAGTCATGGAAAGTGTACCATTTCCATTTTCTCCTTGATATTTATAATTTTACAGATCTTTTCTGACAATGTTCAAACAAATCAAGGAGTATTTATTCTACACCCATCTATAAAATTGCAGGTGGCTTTCACGCTTAACTAGCTTTGGATACTTAGGATGTTTGTTTATTGTGACAGTCTATCTTTTTCGATTCAGGACTTGGATATGTGTATTTCTACATTGCTTCCTATTTCTGCTTCTGTGTTTTCTAATTTTCATCAAAAACTGACTTCTTCCCTTGGTTTCATGTCCTCAGCTCAGGTTATAACAGGTATTTTAAGTACTAGGGTGAAAGACTTAATTGCTTGTTGCTTATTTGCGTTCCTTTGTGTCTTTGTGGGGATTTACCCCTAGCCTGTTGACTTGGCTTTCTGGGGTTTTTTGTGTGGAATTTTTTCTCAGTGATTATTCTGAGAGAATATTAAGCTGGATGCTTTTTGGAATACCCCAATCCGATTAATTATCTTTTCGTGAATGCCCTTTCTTGTGTTTGAAAAGCTGTTTTGGAGACTTGAGAGCTGAATTGTTTTTTGATATTAAGTAGAGAACATGAACCACAGCAATGTTTTAATGTTATGAGCCATTTTAGAAGCTTGCTTGGACTTCTGAGAATTCTTCGTCAGTAAATCGATTTTGACACACTCAGACAACAGTATAATTGTTTCATACATTGAGAAAGTTGGTAGGCATGAAGCATTGGATTCTTTTCCTAAAATCTGTGCATCTTCTTTTATAGATGAAGAACATCTCCATCATTTTATAAGCCTATTATATTCTGGTAGTTCTGAATCTTCTTACAACTCAGCTTTTATGACCTGTGAAAGTAATGCTTATGGAGTTGGTATCTCTCCCAGATATCTGATTATTCAAATATGAATGCATATCTGCCTATTAGTATTATTTAAAGAAAAATAATATGTTGTTCCAAGTTAAACTGCGGGTGTCTTTTTGCCATCTATAACATAGTTTCCTCTACTGCATTTTCACCAGATTTTTCTTGTCGTGCTTGGAAGCATTTATTAATTAAATTAACCCAATATATTGATATTCCACCCTGATTACCAACATATGTAGACAGTCTTCTTTGAGAGTATCATTTAGGTTGAAGGTTTATTTCCCTTGGTAAGCATCTTAAGGTGGATGCTTAATAACCTTCAACTTCTCAAATGTTTAATTCCTTTTGTCTTCATTCTTTTGGGCAATTTAAAGATACTATGTATAAACCTTTCTGAGTAGCAATACATTAATGACAAGTCTTTCCGGAATGGAATGGGCTGTGTGCCCTACAAGCTTTAATAGTGTTACATTTTAGGCCTTTAACTACTAGTGATGTAAAAGTAGTCTTGAAATTAATGTTTTAAGCTTTTTCTCACTTAAGTTCATTGCCACTCTGACATTAATACTTTTGACATTAGCTGTACCTTGTTTTCAAGAAGAGCATTAATTATTTCTGTATCAGATAGAAGTTTTACCATGGAGGGACAAAACAAATTATTTCTGATTATCTTATTAAAAATTCCTTTAGGAAATGATAATTCAGAACCTTATCACATTTTATGTATAGTTAGACCAGTATGATGTTGTTTTGTCCACACATATCCTATTAGAGGATCTTGTTGTGATGTGTTCAATCTGTTTCAAAAGTCAGCTTCTTATGACTTGTTTTCATCTTTCTTAACAAAGTAGTTCAATTTATTATTTTACATGTTTTTAATTATTTGAGTGATAACCTCACTTAGAGGTTTCAGGTTTGTGGTGTCTTTAGCTGCAAAAGAGGGGGTATTATCTTGTAGTGTGAGTCTTTTTGTTTTACATAAGAAT